CAACATGAATACAAAATAAACACAAAGTAAACAAAATGCGTGAAAAAATACAAACATGAAAGCAAATGCACACAAAGTAAACAAAAGCACAAAAAGTAAACACAAATACAAAATAGACACAAAGAAAACAAAAATGCTAAACAAAATTAAAACAAACTGCAAACACAAAATGCAAACACTAAATTACACACAAAAACAAAAACACGCAAAAGTGGTAGCTGAGAGCAACATCCAATACTGAATTCAAATAAAAAAGTCAAGATGGCCACCAAAGCTAAATTTAAATAGTTTAACTCAGCTATTTTTATACACAGAGCTGAAATTTGGTGAAGTTATAGCTGAGAACGTTCCACATCACAGACAAAAATCCAAGATGGCCACCATAGCTTAAAAGAAACTAAATGAATATAACTCATTGATATACTTTTTTGTGATATTGAGCTAAAATTTGTATGGTGGTAGGTGAGAGCACCCCCAACATATAGTACTGCCAAATAAAATTTAAAGAATGGCCTCAACGTGGCAGCCCCTGTCCAAGTTTTTCCGGGAACTTTCTAGTTATCATCACTAAAGTACAACAAAACCAGAGATAAAATACACGATATACATTCTATAACGCCTGAATAACAGCAAGAAACAGAAGATAAAATACACACATGCAGTCATGCAGATGAAATGAGTTGTATGGAAGCAGCAGAGAAAGTCACTTCTGTGTTACCTTTAGGAGACAAGGAGGTTCTGGAGAGGTTCAGGTGCTTCAGGCCCATGGGTAATTTGGCTAACTGAGCACTCAAAACAATGACACCTGAAAGCAGCACAGATTAAAACAAGTTAATAAATATCCTGATGCATGCTCAATAAAGTTAATAAATGTATTAAACTTCAGGATGCAGAGCATGACCAGCAGAGGGCGCGAGAGCCCACATGTGAGAATAAACAGCATAGAGTTTAGATTTTTAACCAATTATGAATCATAATTAACTGAGTAACAGATAAAAAATAAAACTGTGAGGATTAAAAGTATGCCCATGTGTGACATTGATCATATAAAAATCATAAAGTAAAAAAATTAGTGCATACTGTCGAAGAAACAAAACATGCATCTTTCATATTGGAGCCCAAATCTTACAGTGGGGCATTTAATGATGCACCCAGTTTTTACTGCTTGCTGCATTTAAATATGTTTATTTGCACTTTTGTGTGTGCGTTTTTTTGGTTTTTTTTTTAAACCAGCAGGGTTATTTGAAGCATGTCATAAAAACACGAGCTCGCTCCGTGACGACTTTAGTTGAGCGTTTTTGCTGCAGAATGCAACGACACTCAAGTTATTTTAGGAAATGCATCTCTTATTTGTACATGAGAATTTTAACAGTTAATGGATAGCCCATGGACACATGCAAAACTTTTTGCACACAATAAAAAAATGGTTTAAGGCGTGCGTGGGTGCACACAGTACAACCTTTGTCCTCCAGGGAGTTGTTGCTCAGGACGAGTGTTTGAAGTGTGCAGGAGGGGTTCTGTGACAGAGCGCCGGCCAGTTTCTGAGCAAAGTCACTGGACAGGAGAAGAAAAACCAGAAGTAAAGATCACGGACGAGGTTTAACAGCTGAAGCAACAGAAAAAAGTCTTTATATTTTATTAAAAGCTCTCAGCAAACTTGTTTATTAAAAAAAATCAGTTGAAGCTGAACCTCGGTCTCATCTGTTTAGTGTAACTCGTAATTAACAGAAAAACTCTAGCAGGAGCTGATTTGTTTCAGACAGAGGGCTGTGATGTGACAATAAAACTTTAAGTGATGCGTTTTGGTTGTCTTGATGTATCGCCTACATTTCCTCCTTGTGGAAGTACTAAATACCATAATTTCCAGCCTATAGAGTGCACCCAAAGATAAGATGAGCACAATAAATAAAAAATAAAATAAACTTTTGTACATGTAGGCTGCACTTGTCTATAAGCCACAGGTGTTCACGTTGTAACGTGAGATATTTACACAAAAATATGTTACAAAGAACGATTTTTAAGAACTTTTAATTAAATACGAATCGGTAACAAACACAAATACGTACAGTAAATGCTTTTTTCTGAACAACGCCTTTAACAAGACTGGTTAAAAACATACAGTAGCCTAACAGGAAGTCAGTGATCGCTATGTTCATCGCCCTCCTGTGCACTAAATACAGATGCACAGATCCACTTTTGTCCGAGGCGATCCCTAAATCTGGATATCGTCCGATATCGATACTGTTCCGATATCATCATCATTGATTTTTTTTTATGAGGCTGTAATAATCTCAAGTACAATTTGTACAAATGTATGCATCCAAAAAGGCAACTTGAGGTAAGTTTTATTAATGTTGGATAAGTTTCAAAGTTAGAATTAAATTCTGCAAACACAAAACATGTTTTTTTTTTTATTCCCAGCTTTAAAGTGGATATTAAAGTGATCAAATGGCTTCAAACCTCTGCTAAGATCATGACATAAACCAACACAGACATGTTCCTGTTTTCAGTATTTTACACTGCTTTATAATGTAACTTTGTATATAAATATATATATATAATTTTTTTGTATTTTCAGTTCATATGTTTTTTTTTTATGATCGTCTGCTGTTGTACTGATAAATATCTCCTGGGGGGTAAACTATATCTTGGCTGCAAGTATCAAGCTGTGAAATCCTTCGTTTTCTACAAGTGACAGCGTTTGGTCATCAATTACGATGAAGTTTAGCAACTTCTCGATAATCCCTTTAGCTTTCACATTGTCCAGTGGAAGTTTACGTTGCTGTTGGAGCGACTCCAGAAGTGATTTCTGCCGGCGCTTTTCGTCTTTCTCCCACCTAGCTAAACAATCCTTGTGCTCTTTAATGTGGTGCTTTTTCAAATGTTTATTAAGTTTGTTGTGTTGTAGGTTGCGAAGGAGCTTCCTCCTCTCAGTACAGCGGCTCTGCAGACATTGTACGTTGCCGTCTTGCTTTGTGGTCTTTCTAGTGTGAAATACTTCCACACGGTGGACGTTGCGATGAAAAGTTGGTTAGCCATTAGCTAAAGTGCTGCTCACATATTTACTCACGTTTAAGCTTATTAGGGTTTTATAGGGTTTTATAGGGTCATATTACTCTGGGTTTATGAGACACGCCTCCGTTCAGGAAATCCATAGTTTGAAGCCAACTTGCAGCAGGTATGGAATCACATGTGGAGAAGTTTCAACAGACACAGACATGCATCATGGATCGGAAACCTCTGCAGGTTGGATTGGAAAAATCCGATACGTCAGTTATGCTGGTATCGGAACCCGATACCTATATTGGATTAGAACGGCCCCATCCCTAGCACAAAAACCACTAAAGTACGGGCTTCAGCGTCAGAATTGAACAGTCTCAGAAAAACTTCATCGTACACGTCCTCAGTCTCTTTTGTTGTCGAAAAGAATACAGCAGCCTGCCAAGGAGTTATTGATCTCTATTTTCAAATTCCTCCTGCTGAGCAAAAGTTGCTCTGCGCATGCAGGGGAGTCCGCCTCATAAACTCTGTGCATGGGGGGGGATGCCCTCCTCCCCGTTCTCTCCTCCTCATTTCATTGGTTGGACTGTAACCTGTTCAGTAATTTCATTGGTCAGATTATTACTATTATTTTATCTTTATTTATACAGGTAGTCTCACTGAGTCATGTGGACCCAAGAGACAGGTATTTGGAAGCTATGTGAGCGCCTGGGTTTGACAAAGCTAAATCGTTTTTGGTGGCAGGAAGCTCATTACCCTGTCCAAAAATAAATAAAATAAATAAATAAAAATCCATAAATTAGTCGCAGCATTGTATAAGCCGCGGGGTTCAAAGCTTGTGAAAAAAGTAGCGGCTTATAGACCGGAAATTACGGTAGTTTTACTATTGCTATAGTAATTAATTTACTTCCTGTCTATCTGGCTCGGCCATGTTGTGCATGTGTCATGTGAACGCCACAGACCAGCAGGGCTCTGCACTTCCACACTTCTGAGTTCCGCCTTTCATGTTCCTCAACATCCCATTAATCATTAACATGAATAAAAAACATTTTTTTTTTTACATTTGAAAATCAATTCAGGATATTTCACACCCAAGACAACACATTTAAAGAATATGATTTATGATCTAGGTTTAAATGCAACTCGTTTGAGTTTGATTTCTGCACATGTTGTATATAAAACAAACATTGGTTGGTTGACCTCTGACCTTTTGAGCCCAGCATTGTCCAGCACCAGCTCTTCAAGTCGACTGGACCGAGCCACCACCCTGAAAATCTGGTCGCACACATCTGTAGACTGCACAGCAGAGCCACGCAAAGAAAATCAAAACTGAGCTAAAATATTTAATTTAAATGGGAGGTTTACTGGGAGGTTTACTGGGAGGTTTACTGAGAGCAAAGCAGGAAGTTGTGATAAATAAAGTATGGCAACATAAAACCCCAGCAGACAGATGTTTTTAAAGATATTACCATTCTGAAGTCTTTGGATAAGAGTTTGGTGAACCACTGGTTGTATTCAAGAGCTGTGATAATAGACACCAGATCTCTGCAAGAGATTTTAAGACATTACATAAAAAAGTATGATTAATAAATCTGTTTGAAAGATTAATTTGTCCATGATACAAAATCTGGCACCGAACATTAATGAATCCAGATGTTTGACCAAGAACGAACCTGTTCTCCAGGTGAACAAAGTCCTGCAGGTTGAGTTCTTTGGTGTCCTGAGTGAGGTAGATGGTGTCAACGTCCTGCAAAAGACAAATCCAACAATAACTGGAGGGACAGAAGGAGCAGCTTCATAGTGGTGCGCTCGAAGGGACCATCGGCCCCAGCTGACAACGAGAAATCACATTCAGCTTCTGCACATGAGTTTGTTTTACTGCCACCTGAATAAAAAGGGGAACAATGGATATGTCACAGCTGCACATCACGAAAAAGCAGCAGGAAAAAAGGAGAAGGTAAAAACAAAAGCAAGGAAATAAAACTATTCGGAAGTGGTTGAAGAGAGGAAGAACCAAAAGGCAAGAAGAAAACAAGAGATTCAAACTGAAGGAAAATGATCAAGAGTGGCCAAAAATATAAAAGTAGAAGCAGAATGCTAAACTAAACCCCACTAAATGAGCAACAGTATAAAGGTACCGACCCATTGGACCTCCTCTCTGAACGGCACACCCAGGCTGTCGCACACACACCAGTACTGATGAGAAAAGCCGCCTGCAGAGTCACAACAATGAGATTTCAGCATTTTATTAAAATCAGGTGTTTTTTTTTTTTTACTTCGAGGCTGATTTACCGCAGGGGCCCAGGTCTGCCGAGCTCTGCTCGTTCCAGACGGCCTGGAGGGTCGTCAACCTCTCTGGAGGCTTCAGATTCAACTTCCTCATCATCTTCCTTCCTCACAGAGAGAGACAGAGGGAGGAAGAGGAGGACAAATCATGAGAGAACACTAAAAATCAAAGGTCAAACTTGAACGAGATTTAAAGAACTTCAACAAAATGTCCTACACAGAACTGAACAGATTACCGTATTTTTCGCTGTCTAAGTCACTGTTTGTTGCATAAATTAGCATGCCTGCGACTTATACAGAGGAGCAACATATTTGCTTTCCCCCCCATATTTATAAACCAATTTTTGGCAGAGATCTGACAATTTCATTCATTCTGACATGGAAAATATTGAACACTACCATTTCCAACCACTAGAGGGCCCACGACTAATATAGCAAGCCAAGCATCTCATTAAAAGTGGCTATTAATGAGACAATTGGCTTGCCATATCAAGCCACCGTCGTCTTGCTCTGGAACTCCTGAAGCAAACGTCAAATCAGCTGCATTTTGCCGTGCCGCCCAGGTGAAATGCAGCTGATTTACCATTAAAGTGCATTTATTAAAGAAAAGTTCAACTGAGACCCATCTTTACTATAATGTTGAAAATGCAAATAATTGTTTTTAGGTGTTTATCTTGTTAAATTTCAAAGAAATGCACAGCGAGTCATCCCTCTGCGTGCTCCCGCTTCCGCGAATCGGCCTTTGAAATGCAGCTGATTTGACCGTCAAGTGCATTTATTAAGGAAAATTTAAACCAAGACACACCTGTGCTATAATTTTGAGCAACCAAATAATTGTTTTTAAGCGTTAATCTAGTTAAATTCTACTTAAAGTCCTCCCGTGCACGCTCCCACGGCCACCATTTGGCAGTCTTTTGATTTTTGGCACAACACCGGCTCACATTTCCGTGTTGTCAGCAGTGACGCGTAGTAGATACGACGTATACAACGAAGCAACGTATTTATGTTTTGTCCACTTTATTAGACATATTTGGACTGATGTGACTTATAGGGCGGTGCGACGTGTACAGCGGCAATTATGGCAACTTTATGTTATGAATAAATGCACTACCCTGACTCGCCATTAGAATTGTTTTCTTGTTGTTGTTTATTTTATTAAACATACCATATCCAATCAGATGTTTTTATTTTATTTTTCTTTCGGCTTCTCTCTTCTCCAGGGGTCACCACAGTGAACTAACTCACATGAAGTTTGGCAATTATTTTTACGCCGGATGCCCTTCCTGACAACCACAGACCAACAAGCTACCACAGCCCTCTGTGTGGAGCAGAGAGCTGTCATCTAGGGAGCCTGGGAGAGCAGATGGTGGAGGTTAAAGGCCTTGCTCAAGGGCCCAGAGTGGGGCAAATGAGAGTAAGGTGTTTCACCTTTCCCACCCACATTTTGATGTTGGTCTGGGGAATAGAACCGGCGACCTTCACATCACAGGCCTATCTCTTCTAACCCAGTGGTTCCCAACACTGGCCCTTAAGGAACACCATCCTGCATGTTTTAATTGTTTCTCTGCTCCAACACACCTGATTCAGTGATTACATTACTTTCTCGTGTTCTGCAGAAACCTGTTAATCATCTATTCATTAAAATCAGGTGTGTCGGAGCAGAGAAACAACTAAAACATGCAGGATGGTATTCCTCAAGGACCAGTGTTGGGAACCACTGATATGAACCACCACTCCTCCTCGTTTTTAATAATATATACATAAAAGATGTTTGTTCAAAGCAAATAAATAATTATCACTTATGTTTAGAAGACATTCAATTATTTATATGAATGTTTTTCAACCTCCTAAGAATTTGACTCAAAGTTTAGACTTTTTTTTTTTCTTTTCAAAAACCATTTAAAGCCATTGACGTGCAGCTCCACTCCTTTCCCTCAGTGTTCAAATCTGGGATTTTTGGATGCATGGTACCTACACAGGTGACCCGGCGGGGCAAATCCGGTAGAGACAGATGCCGATGTGAGCGATCACCTCGTCCACCTCCTCCACTGAGCTCAGTCGGAGGCTCCAAGGACCGCGTTCATGATCCAACACCAGCTGTGTTCATAAAGGAACAGGACATAAAATGCACAAAATCAATTATGGGCATCAGATAGATATTACGCTGGAAGAAATATATATAATTATATAATGATATATAGCAGGTGTTTATGTGTATACTTGAGTGGGCTTGTTGCTGCTGATTCCTTGGATATCCAAGTAACTGAACGACTGCTCAACCTGCAGGAAACATAAAAATACATTTACAATTCATCATTAAATATATCAGACTAGTGTAGGATTTGAACATATGCTCATAGATGAATTACAAGTCCAAAGAAAACAGCAAAAGTCAGACATCTTTTTTTTTATTCAAAAATTAAAACAACAATAGACATAATTTGGGAGAAACAACGGGAACCGTGGGATTTTTGTAGAAAATGTTTAGCAGACACAAGACGCTGTGCAAACACACACCAAAACATTTACAGATGCTATTTACAGAAACATGTAAAAATACATTTAAAGAGTTGTATTATTTGCATTACAGTATAGTCATATTTTGAACGAACTGATCATCACTATTTACATAAATAAACATGAAAATGGGTAGTTTGGTATCTCTGTGAGTGCAGCACTGAACATTAGAGTAGAGAAAGCTAAAGAGGGAAAATGCACCCCCCCAGTTGGGTAGTGTAGGCAGTAGAAAAAAAAAAAAGCTAAGGAAACCATTCAAAACCATTCAAGCAGATCTCCAAGTTCTACATACTTCACTTTGTGACTGCTCTATTCATTGTATTTTCAATCATAATGTAAGAAGACCCAGCAGGGATTCCCTGCTGACAACAATAACACAATAAAAGCCCGACAGGAATTCATCTGAATGTCGACAAGAACCAACGTTTCTGGGACTGGTGAGATCAAACAGAACCTTTTTGTCTCCAGGCTCTCCAGTTGTGTTTTGCCTAGAAAGGCAGCCACCCATTATTATCCACCTGAAGAGTTTTGCTCTTCTATCAACTTTAATGTGGCCCGAACCGCGATGTGTACCCCACAAATGTTGTATCGGCACCATCATGTGTGCTGTTACTTTTTGTGGGGCGTGGATATAACTCACGAGGTTTTAACAGCTATTCAGCTAAAATTAGGTGTCTTGGTAGCCGAGAGCAATCCCTAATAGACCCTGTTGCAATTCAAAATTTCAAGATGGCTGCCTGAGCTAAAAGGAAAAATACTATAAATTTGCCATTTTTATAGATATTAAGCTGAAATTTGGTGTGTTGCTAGCTGAGAGCAACGCCCAATTAATACACAATTCAAATAAAAAATTCAAGATGGCCAACAAAGCTACATTTAAATGGCTTTAACTCAGCTATTTTTACACGAGCTAAAATTCGGTTAGGTTATAGCTGAGAATGCTCCCCATCACATACTGGATCCAAATCAAAAATCCAAGATGACCACCATAGTTTAACTAAAAAAAATGAATATAACTCTGATTTTTTTGCCACATTGAGCTAAAATTTGGTGGTAACTGAGAGCGAACACCAACATATAGCACTGTCAAACCAAAATGTTTAAATGGCTGCAACACAGTCCCCATCCACGTTTCTCCAGGAACTTCCTAGTTTATTGTTCTTATTGTAGAAGGGCACCCACTAATGTATCCACGTCTGCATTTCTGTTTCTTTTTTTTCTTGGATCGGCATAAAAATTAAGAGGTTATAATGACAAACTGTCAAAATGAAAGAAGGGTGCAGAAAGTAGACTGATCCAAGGTACGTGTTAGAAAGTATTTGAGCCTGCAGCTTTATTTCAGAACTTAAAGAGAGAGTTAAGGGTATGAATCTAAAGGACACATCTTGTTAGCGTGTCTTATTCTGTTATAAATAAAATGCACTATAAGCAATGCAAGATATTTTTTTTTAACTCTGAAAACTTTTGCATGATCTGAACCACTTCATTTTAATGAAAACTGATCCTGATGTGGAAGCACAGAAGGTTTCCAATAACAAGGACAATAATATTTGTTTTATCTAACAAAGTTCAGTCAGGTTCTCTGGACTTTGTTTTCTGTTGTTGAAATGTTTCGTTCTTCATCCAAAGAACTTCATCAGTCTGAGAAGCCACAACAAATTTAGGTCCATGGCTTACTCACATAGTGGGACAACCAGTTTTATGGTGATAAGATGGTTTCTGGAGTCGGCCCTCTCCCCCGTCGACTCCTAAAAGGCAGCCATCTTATCACCATCAAACTGGTTGGCCCACTATGTGAGTAATCCACTAATGGGACTGAGTTTGTTGTGGCTCCTAAGACTGATGAAGTCCTTTGGATGAAGGACGAAACATTTTAACCAAAAAAGAAACCGTCCAAATGACCTCTTTGTTGGATTTTTTTTACCTGAATTATTGAGCATGAACTTTAATTTAATGCTTGTTTTAGTTTGTCATAACAAATTGTCCGTTTTCTGTTTTAACACAACAACATCAGTGCGATCAAAGCAGTGCCACAATTTTAAGTCGTCTGTGGATGCCTGCCCTGACCAAACCCCATCACTGTCAGACTGCACCAACACCCCCATGGCAGATGTTGAGCAACATCTGGTGCAAAGCGTGAGTGTCTGAACGGAGGCTGCTGTAAACACATGTTCACACTGATGTGAGCTGTTCACATGTGACAGAAATGTTCATGTTTGCTCAAGTTAACCAGCAGGGCCTTTGCTCAACAATGACTGGTCAGGTTCCAACTTGTTCTGAAATGGTGTCACAACAAAAACGCTTTTTCCTAACAAAGTTTGCTTTAAAATAGTTAATGAATTAATCCATAGGATGACTATGGCCTTATTGAAACTTTTGCTGTGTTGTACATAAAAGCATGAGTGTATTATGAATCATTTCCACTGCACAGAAACAGAAACTGACTTGAGCCTGGACTGATTATCAGAAAAATAAATAAATGAACATCTCAAAGGCCATGAGTTAAAATAAAACTTAGAAATAGTCTGCAGAGCAAATGCCTAGAGCAGAGCCATGCACTCACAAATGTTTTCCTTTGACTGTAGAGAGTGAAAGCTAAATACTTGTGTGGTCTTTTCTTGCTGCCAAAGAGAACAAGTGTGATAGAGGGGGAGAAGACGAGAGAGGGAAAGTAAAAAAAACAAACAGTGATAAAGAGGAAAAATGTAAAAAAAATGACGAGACAACACTTGGAAAAAAAGAAACAATGACAGTAGAATGGAAAATGTCTGAGAAAAACTACATTAATACAGAGAATTACAGAGAAAAGAGATAAAAGTGAGTGAGAGAGAAACTGAGAGGGGCAGAGAGAAGCCGTGCCCCCTCCTCTGCTGGCCCTGCCAGCTGTTCAATTACTCCATTGTCTTTTTTCCTCTCTGCTGCCTTCATCTGCTGGAACAGTACACACTGAAGAACAAAACACTCTCTGTTTTACTCACACACACACACGAATGTGTGAAATGTGTGCATGTACACACGCACTCAGAGAAACCACTGGTCCACTGTATAACCAGTTCAAAGGTCAGACTGAGTTAAAAATTGTTATTTTGCCAAGTTTCTGTTATTTTTAAAGATTTAATGTCTATCTATC